GAATTCATCGGATAAGTGCAGCTATTAACAGAGGTAAAACAGAACTGCTAAGAGGAACAGCCTTGAAGAGGCAGAAATGGACATGGGGAAACCTGGTTTAAAAATAAAACACAAGTCTATGGAGGCCAAAGCCTTTCCATCCCTAAGGAGGACTAAGTGTGCTGACTGGCCAGCTCATGTTGAGTGTCTGTTAGAAAAGAAATATAGACAACTGTGTGAAAGGGGAACATAATGGAATATTTGGAGGAGGCCATGGTTGGCTGCCTGGGAGGATATACTGCAATGTCTGTTAAAGGTCCCACTTTTCCACTTTTTAATCAAGAACTATACACACAACTCAAATCTCTGTGTTAGTTTACACAATAATGATAACAATGCTCAATTCTTATTTCAGAACTTTTCATTCAGACCAGTGGCTCTGAACACTCAATGCTATTAGGGATGCACATCTATTAGGCAAAATACTGGGCATTATTTGCTATCTCCATAATGAACAAACAGAGGAATACAAGCTACTGGTGTTCTGCATTTACCTATATATGTGAATTCTTCTGCTCAGGAGCTTAGGGGTGAAATTACCTATTTCCCTCCTATTGGGGTGGAAAAGGGATTAAAGTTACAGGACAATTAGTGGAAAACAGAATAATCAGCCACAGCTTGTTGCTTTAATCTAGGGGTGCTGAACCTCTTTCAGCCTGGCAGCTAAATTTGATTTCAGAATGGTTCTCAAAATGCATGTGTGTGTGTATGGGCCACATTCTAGGTGGGGGTGTGGAAAATGCAAAAGGACAGGTAGCCAAATAAGCATGAAATTACCAGCATGTTTTAACCTTAGAAGATACATTTAAAATAATTACAATTGTGGAGGAGGAATGCAAAAGCTGGAAGACCCCCAAATGATTGATAATTGGAGAAAAGGGGCAGGCACAGGGGAAGAGGCTATCTGGGCATGGTGGGCTGAATTTGGCCTATGGACTTGAATTTTGATACTTCTACTTTAGCATGATAGCCATACTATCTTGTCTCTCCCCCAATGAAACAGAATCATAACCCAACAGCAAACCATAGATATTTTCTGTTTGCTGTGATGTGAAGACCAGGTCAATAAGTAATGCAGTGTAAAGCAAACAATAGAAATAAGGCATTACTAGTGTAATTTGAAACTCTAGATTCATACTAGTAAGAAATAATACTATAATCAACCATAGGACAGTGAATATGCATAACACAGGCAAGGACAAACATGACATGTACTGGAAATTTTGAACGGGGAAAAAGCAGCAGAAAAACAGGAAAACAGAGGGTGGGTAAAGGGAACCATTCCCTTCCTTCCTATCACTTCTCCACTGTAAGTCCCATCTTCTGAATCAACTTTAACAAATTGTGTTAAGGTACAGATGCAGATATGTAGTTAATCTCCAATAGACAAAGAAGCTTCATGTCGCTAAGTAAATACTTTTTTTAGTCTTTTGTACAAAAATGCATCTGACTCCTCCTGATGCCTTGTGTAAACCCTGCGGTAGTGTGTCTTGCTCCTGAGTTGTTCCTATGCTGCATTTTCCCCCTCAGTTGAGCTTGGATGTCCAAATACCAAGCACTGGATACTTTGGCAGTAATTTAACTTGTAGTATAAACTCTAGCAATAAATTAGATTACTCCTCTACTCTGTTTGCATAGAGTGCTTTCCTACTTTTGTTTCCCATCACAGCATGAGATTATGGAATAAACCTTAACCTTGTTTTTGGAAAGGGATATTATGAGTAAAACAAGAAGCAAATATACTTGTAGGCTGCAAAGTCCCCGAAAAGCCAAAGCAAAACAGTTTTTGCTATTTTTATCAGGCAGTAGACTTTCTTCTGGTAAAACGGCATGATTATATACCTATAATATGGGAGATTGAAATTAAGATGTGTTTCAGAGAACTTTTCCGCAAAGCTACTATGGCTAAAGGACTGAGTAGTAGGATACAATGGTGTCTTTGTAAGATGCAGGGGAATTTTAAGTGGCAATTCAACTTTTCCAGGACATTCATTTCAGAATACATCACTATTGAAAAGGTCTAAAAATCACTGCAATTTTAACTGAAAGGAAAGAGAAGTATGAATAAGCACAGATTTCCCCTTTTGTTTTACGGGCTTTTGAAGGAACTGGCGCACACACATCATTCCATACATTTCTATTGCACAATGTAAGTGGATAGATTCATTTTACTGCTGTTGGAATTATCTCACAAGGCAATTCTTTGTTAACTATGATAATACTCATACAGAATTCAGCAAACAGAAAATGTTTCATCACCATATTTTCAGGATGTGTAACATGGCCTATTTTGGTTGACTTCAAACTAGTTCAGATTATAATGCCAATCCAGTTCTGCAGACACATTTAAAGCTTTTCTATTACTTCACAGCATAACTGTAATGACCAAGCAATGGATTCCTCGCTCTACACTAAATAAGATAATAGGGAGTGGAAATGTATTTATATATTTATCTATGGTGCCAGTGAGAGTGGCCACAGGAGGACAGGAAGGCAGGCTGTGAGCAGGTTGGAAAGGCCACATTGTTATTATTTACATTTCTATACTGCCCATAGTCAAAGCTCTCTGGGTGGTGTGCAACCTTAAGTCCCCCATCCAGATTTCAATCAGATCTGACCCTACTTATGTTCCAGGATTAGGCAGGATCAGGCACTTCATGGATGCGACACTGTAAGTTGCCTCCGGCCCAGCTGCTGCTTCCTCATTCTTGATCTAATGAGAAAGAGCATAACAAGTCTGAATTTAACCTCCTTTAGCTATGTTGCATATTCACATTATCACTGTATGAATCTTGGAGCATTCAAATCAACCTATCATTGAAGGCAGGTGTCAATGTAAAGAAGGACTTCCTGAAGAGTAGTAGCAGCAGCATCGGTAGCAGCAGATTCTTCACATTCTTCCTTGAAATGATGACCTACCCAACAGTTTCAGCAATGGAAGGAAAACTTGTATTTCAGGAGTTTCATGGATCAGTGGATAAAAACGTTTTGATATGAGTTTTTGTGAATGTTAATCAGTGTTTTTGTCTTGAGACTAAATTGGTAAAAGGGGAAATGAAGAGACTCAATCATGGCCAATCCTACTATAAGCAACAGAATTATCTAGTATATTTTATGTAAGGTATCATTTAATTAAGTCTAGTCCTTTTCCTGACAGCAGAGCTCAATACACTATAGCAGACAGCTCTTCCTTCAGACCACAGTCTTCCAGAAAACGTCACTGAACAGGCATTCATTATTTTATCCAGGATATTTATTGGAGACATTGTGCACAGAACTAATACTAATACTAAGTAACTAATACTTTCTATTTTGAAAGGAAGACATTATCGCAATTGTGCATACATGACACTTGTAAGAGGTCATTATGTGCATAACTATTGTATTTCTACAGATTTTAGAGTATCTTCCCCTTCAAAATAATTGGTCATTCTTAAAAAAAGGTCAATGCATTATTTGCCGGTCTCATCATAAACCAAACCTGTAGAGCATCATAATGTACATACAATGACAAAATGGGTGTAAGGGGAGATCCAGTGGCACAACAGAGAAGGACCTAGGTCTATTTCCTAGCAGGTTAGAATCAGGTAAGCGGATGACTGGAAAAAACGAAAACCCAGGTAAAACAGTGAACCCTAAAATTGCTATAGAAAGGCTAGTTCTTATTACAGTAATTATGGTGATTAGTATCATCTAGCATGGTAATCTATAGGCAGTGCTGATCATCAAGGGAAAACTGAGCTCAGAAGACTGGGGTAGGATCATCATAGTGTGTTGATAATTTAATGAGGAAGAGAGGGGTTTTGGACTTAATTCAGGTATCCTATTCCATCCAAAACTATTTTTATTTGAAAACGTATATTCCATCCCTCCTTTCAAATATTCTCAGATCAACAGCACACAATCTATTGTTAAAAGGGCACAATGACAGGTCAGTATCAAGGATTTCATATACAGGAACCTGTCCACTATTTTGCTAATACAGCATTCCACAACCACATTGGCCTGGAACGATGGAAGTTGTAGTCTAACACAGCTGCTCTGCATCCTTTGGACAGGCCATACAACTGTTGTTTACACCACTGCTTGCAAAGTTTTGGAGGATGGCACACCTCATGGTCTATGAGGTATACCATGTAAGGTACAGCAATAAAGGTGCACTTCATCAGGGCTCCTGCATCTTGGAGGTCTAAAACCTACACAAACATCAATGTGAAACACAAAACAGTATTTTTGTTTCTATGTATCCTGTTTAAGAGTGCCAGTGTTGGACTGGGAACCTGGAAAGCCCAAGTTCTAGTCCACACTCTGCCGTGAAGCTCACTGCGTGACTTTGTGACAGTTACAGACTTTCAGCTCAGTCTTCCTCACAGGGTTGTTGTTGGAGCTATGGAGCTAGGATAAAATGGAACTATGCAAGTGGCCATGGGTTCCCCACAAGGCGAAAATGGCGGGCTATAAATGCAATGTCATATTAAACCCGCTTACTCAAAAGCGTCCTCGTGAGTCCAAAAGGACTTACTACCTGTCAGTAAGCGTACGGAAGGCTGCAGCCTTACTTTGTTGAATTTTTTCTGCGCATTGTACGAATGGGAAAGGCATACAAACCCCGCGGTCGGGCGTGAGAGTTTCGTTTTTTCTCAAAACAAAAGCAACTCTTTAACTCGGCTTTATAACGGGCCAATTTAAGAGCAGTACGGTGTATCATTTATCTGGCCCGAGTCCTTAAGCCAAGGCGGCAGCCACAAGGACTAGACCGGCGATTACTTTCTGCGGCGGCCCCTTGCAAGAAGCCGCGGCACATCTCAGCGCGCTGTGTGGCGAGGAGAGCGAGCCAGTAGGTAGCGTTAAGAGCCCTCCAATCGCCAGTGAGGTCCCTGCCCCAAGGGGGCGGGCAGAGGCTTTGATGTCGGGGGTCCCGGCGTGGCCGCGGAGTCACGAAGCTGGCACCCTTTCCTTCTCATGCGCCAGGAGGCAAAGCGCGCGAACGCGAGGGGCAAGCCGCAGAAAGCCGCGCAAGGAGGGCAGCCCTCGCGGAGCAGTCGAGGCGAAGCGGGAAGGCAAGCAGGGGAAGCGCAGCAGAGCAGGAGGAGGAGGAGGAGACGGAGACGCTGCGAGCGCAGAAGGGGACAGGGTGGGCGCCACGGGAGCATGAGCAAGCCGCGCACTCCGAAGTCGGCCCAGCCGGCGGGCTGCTGTAGCCGCTGAAGCAGCGGCGTCGTCGTCGCTGAAAGTGAAAAGCGCGGCGGCGGCGGCGGCGGCGGAAAGGGCACGGGATTCCCTTAAGAGGGAGGTAGAGGGACCATGCGGGTTCCCGAATGGCTAGCGGGGCTGCTGAAGCTCCTCTCCCTTCTTGTCAGCAGGACATGGGAAGTCCGCCTGCACCCCAAGCAAGGTAATAATGGTGATAATAAGAGCCGGGGACGCGGGGATACGTGTGCGTGTTGGCGCGTGCAGTTGGTCACAGCGCTTAAACTTTCCTAAGGGCTGCTTGGCAGCAAACCACCCGCGGCTGCCGACAGCACCTTCCTAAGGACCCGGGGCACGGCCGCGGCGTGAGGCGATCGCGCCTGCGCTGTGGGAGCGAGCCTTGCACGTGCGCGAAGAGGGCGCTCGTGCGCTTGAGGCGAGCGCGTGGATTGGTGCTCGCACCTCGCGCCGGACTGGCAATGCTTTTAATCCGGGGGACGCCCTCCGTTACGTTGTTGGACGGGAAAACAGCAGGAACAATCCTACAGGCTTGGCTGACTGCGGAATGCTGGGAATCATTGGACTTTTTCCTATCTGAACATGCTGGCTAGGCAATCCTGGGAGTTGTAGGGCTTTTAAAATAAGACTAGGATCGCACCCAAAAAGAGATTGTGGAGATTGCAGGCCACGACTTCCACAGTCTCTAAATACCCTTTCGCCTAATCCCATTCACAGATGTGGTTATAGTTCGGGTATGAGGAAAATGTGGGCCTTCAGATGTTGGATTGTGATTCCCATCATCCCCTGTGATGGGCTATGCAGGCTAGGGCAAATTAAAGTTACTGTCCAACATCACATGCTCCCCATGTACGGTACAATTAGACACAAATTGTGGCAAGCTTATATGTATGTATGACTTACATTTTTGCGTTTTCCAGTAGTGAAAGCTAAGTTCACAAAAGCTAAAGCCCTAACATACAACCTGATCAAATTCGTCTTAATTTGAAAAGGTTGTATCAGCTTCTTCGCTTGGTACTGAGCTTACACTCTTTTCGGCACCAGGTCAAAACCTTTTTATTTAACCGTTATTTTAAAAAATAGTATTTTAATGCAACAGTCGTATTTTATTGGTTATATGTTATTTATTGTTAGATGGTTTTTAAGGTATTTGATTTTATTGGTTGTGAGCTGTCCCAAGATGCCATGCATAAGGGAAGGCATATAAAATTTTTCAGTTAATTAAATAAATATTTGGTGGGGATAGAGAAGCACTTCATATGCTTACAAGTGCCATCTTACTGGTTATTATATTTATATCCTGGCTTTCTAACTCTTGCAAGGAGCCTGAGGTGGCCTGTGTAGTTTCTCTCCTCTCCAATTCATCCCTTCAACAGTCCTGTGAAGTAAGGTAGGCTGAGAGTCAGTGATTGGTCCAGTGTCAATCAGGAAGCTTCATGGCCAAGTGGGGACTAGAAAGTGAGTACGTTTCAGGAATGGCCAAAATACAGGATTCAGCCTAGGGTTAAAGTCCCAGGAAAGGAGTCCGTGCATGTGTGTGGGAAAGAGAGAGAGAGGAAAAACAGTGGTCTCATTCCTCTGCTGCCAAAGCGGTAGTCCGGTTAAGTCTGTTGCAGTAAAACCAGCAAATAATTTTGGGGCATCTTCAGGACCCACAAATTCTAGTGTAAACTTCTAGATGTTTGACAGATTTATATGTGTGTGTTGGTGGCAGGTGGGGGAGAGATGTAAGCAGTGTTGTGAGAGAGAATTGAAATGAATGGCCAGTTGCATTTCATTTCCTTTTGACATCTTCCACCCCTCAGAGAGGCGTGTATGTATTAATTTGCCAATTTGAGTTTAATGCTTAATTCATCTGATGAAGTGGACAGTGTCTACAAATTAAATTTTGTTTGTCTCTGTTGTCTTTAATCCACATTTTGTAGACAATAGTTCAGTATCAGTGAAGTTGTTCTAAGGGAAATGGGAGTAAATTTCATGTAGAATAGTATTGTGCTATTATTTTTAACTGTAATACTTGCATGGCATGGCTGTATAGCATTCCAAGAAATGGAAAATCTGTAATGATTTGTGTTAGGGCTGGCAAGTTGTTATCCTTCAAATATTTTCAACTACAACTCCCAGAATTCCTATCCACTATGCTGACTAAGACTAATGGGAGTTGAGGCCAAAACATCTAGAGGAGGGTCATCAGTTGCCTACCCTTGATCTATATTGTAAGCTGCCCCGAGGCTTCGGCGAATGGGGCGGCATAAAAATGTTTTAATAAATAAATAAATAAATAAAAATAGAAACTAAAAAAATAAATAAATATTACATTTATAAGTTCACACACACTTGTTGACTAACAGTTTTGCAGTTTAATGCAGTTTTGCATTAGAAAGCATCTGGAAAGAACCACTTCTTTTTGTACTGTTGGTGTGATCAAGGATTGTGTCTGAACCTTTTGATCTTACATGTTGAGTTTGTTCCTGTTTGCTTCCCTGCGCATAGCTTCAAAACATGACCAAAAAAGTACAGTGTTGGATGTGAACCTTTCCAATTATTTTATTGAAACTTATATTGAAACTTTATTTTGAATGTGGAGGATGTTTGGTTCTAGTCATGGAATTGACATAGTTTGCATTTTTGGGAGGCTAAGGATGCACAATAATTTTCTGCAAATTCAAGTGTATGGGGAGAGTAGCATATGTGATTTCAGTCTGGATTGTATTGATCCTTCCAGAAGGAGGTACTTTAGCCTGCTCTCAATTTGATACTTAAGACTAGATTGAATTGGATGCTTGTACTGTTTTGAAAGTCTGTCCTTTATGGTTCATTGCAGAGACTTTGGTAAAGCACCTGTCATCTTATGAAATAGTGACACCTACACGAGTGAATGAATTTGGAGAAGCTTTTCCTGACACTCACCACTTCAAAAGGAGGAAAAGGAGTATGGAGGCACTTCTAGAACCTGTTCCTTTCAGGACCCATTACCACCTCAGTGCTTATGGACAGGTTTTCCAGCTGAATCTGAGCGCTGATGCCAGCTTCATTGCCCCTCACTTCATTGAGGTGCATGTGGGGGACATCCAAAAGCATCCTCCCTCAAATTTGCACCACTGCTTTTACCGTGGGCATGTTAATGCACAGGAAAGACACACAGCAATCTTCAGTCTCTGCGGTGGCCTGGTAAGCACTATGCTTAGAGTTTGTTGTCATTCTTAATTCAGATCTGTTTTGATTGAAAACCACACTGGAAGACCTGACTTGCGGAATCACTAAGAGTTTGAGGCAGAACTTTTCTGTGTTGCCTGCTGTACAGGAGATAGATTCTGGTGTTGGTAGTAGCTGTTTTACCTTCAAGTTGAGATTCTTCTCTCTGAGATGAACATGTGAGATTCATATAATGCATTATCTATTTCAGTGGCATTCCCCCCTATCATCCTGAGTTCTGTAAAAGGAGGGTTTTATGCAAGAAAGAAATCAGAAAACTGTATCAGGTTTTGGAATTTAAAAATACAGTGCTGGAATTCATCAGTGTATACATTTCTCCCAAACATTTTGGAGCAGATAATAGGGATACTGTCAACCAAATAATTTATTTAGATACCATTACCCAAGAGTGTATATATATAAATCTATTTAGCAAAAGAAATGTTCCTTATTTTTCTGCATCTTTAAAACCACCCATTGAATCATCCAGTCATTATTACTCTGGCAGTATAAATAGAGGTTGCCTACTCACTGGTATTTTTATTGACCCTTTCCTCCGTTGTGTAGGCATGGGGGGGGCTTGTAGCCTCCTCTGCAGATCTGAGCACTGGGGAGAATTTCCTAATCTCCTATGATTGTCTTACTACAGTTGTCAAGCATTAGAAACATAGAAACAGAGCAAGTCAAGGGGTCTCCCGGGGCATCTAGTCTGACCCCATTATGAACATGAGAAAGCAGCGCACGTGCTTTTTCTCCCTCTCCCTGTGTGTGTGTGTGTAGCCTGAAGTGCCTGATCCTACTTTATCTTGGTAGCCAAATCTGGATGGGTGACAATGTTGTGAAACTCAGAGAGCTTCTGCTATGGATAGCATAGAAATGTAATGAATAATAATAATGTGAGTGTAAGAGCATCTTGCTCCTCTTTGGCAGCTGCGGTTTGGAGACATACTATCCACATAGTGGAAGTAATTGATTGTTATTACAACTAATAACTATTGATAGCTTTATAAGTGTATCTCATCCTCTTTTAAAGCCATCTAGGTCGGTGGCTGTTGCTGTACCTTGCCGTACTGAATTGCATAGTTGAAGCGTGTACTTCATGAAGGAGTACTTCCTTTTGTCTTTGACCATTCCTTTGAAGCACAGTTTGGCTATTAGCACCAAAACACAAAAGGGAGACAAATAGAACTGTACAAGCAGCACACATGATTGGTCATTATATTTCAAGTTTAGTCAGTCTTGGTCTCTAGAGAAAAACTACTACAAGGATATATTCACATGTTTAGAGATAGGGAACTGCATGACCCATCCAGTGCCATGTAAACCATACCTCCCAGCTCCAGCTGCTATGTGCTATGCCAACTATTTATTTATTTATCTGGGATATTTCTAACTCGTCCAATCACTATGTGTCTCTGGAGGACATTTACTGTGCATTTATGATTTGAACACTTGTAGTGGCACATATTTGTGAATTTACAAATGAAGAAGCAATATCAGCAAAGTGGATATCATAAGTGCTATGGGATGTGAGGAATTCCTGCCTTTTGAATTCCAGTCAGTGTTTTTCTTCCTATATTGACTTAATTTTTGTCCAGATACATTTTTAGTAACATCAGTACAATAAGTATTTTTGGGTTCTATAGAAGCAAGTTTGTGCTATGGAAAGCTGAAGTTCCTATGCATCTTTGATTTTTGAAGCTTGAAAAGAAGGTAGTATACAACTATTAAATTGTTTGGTTTGTGCAGGATTGTGCAGGTAGATACTTAGGCTATCCTTTGCAACCCACTTATGGTAGCATATTTAGTTTTAATCCAACAAAGTTTTATTGATTAGAATGGGACACAAATTGTCTTGCCTTATCACTCTATCATACTATCTTGCTGAATAGTTCTTGTTCTTGTTGCAATTAGACTTATTACAACTCTGACTCCCAAGTATGTTTTACTATGATGGTATTTACTGCATTAAATTCTACTGAAAGTTTAATAAATGGACAGATCTAGCCTTTCCCTAAATTGTACCAGTGGGCATGTTTACATGTGGAGATTTTGGCCATGGGAGGACTTCTGAGAGTGGTGGATCACTAATAGGAAATTTCTACGTGTGCATAGAAAAGGCATGGAAAATATACGAAGGGGGACTGAGTTGTACCATGTATTTGTTAACATTTGTTAAAAACGGTAGGCTTGAAAGTGTTTGCTAACTATTTTTTGAAAACCATTTGAAATGTTTGTTAGATTCTATTTTTTAAAAACTGCTTTAATTATTTATTAGTATTAGTCATATAATCAGATTTAATTTCAGTTACTTTATTGAATTAACTACTGCAGTGTACATTGATAGTGCATAATCAGTAGACATATTCCAGTAGTATCGTTGCAGGTGAAGTGCATTACTGGCTCAAAATGTGTCAGGATTCATAATCTGTAACTAGACTTGTGAAACTTTTATGCTTTATCACTTTGGGTTCTTCAGCATTGCTGTTGCCCTTTTTCTCAATAATTATTTAAGACATCAGGCTTCAGGGTTTTACATTCTTTATAATTTAATAAGAGTTTCACTCTTGTTTCTTTCAATTTAGCAGTGCATTAATGCATAAATAAACCTGGGTCTGCTAAGAGTAGGATATATAATTTCTCATCAGCTTATTTGTACTGTCCCTGCCATGCAGCTAGACATTAAAGATGGCTAAAGCTGTAAAGCATAGTCACATAATCACTGACATTGTTAGCATTGTCTGTGGAGGTGATCTGCTAACCTGATACAAGTTTTATGATTTGTTATTGCATGCTGTTTTAAGTTAAGTTCTTCATAAAAACTGTTAATCACATACAATACAATGTTAGACATGCAAGTTGACTATTGGAGGGGTAGGTGCTAAAGGATTTGTTAGGGTCTCTATCCATGGTAGATACCCTTGTAGCTGACTTAACAAGACAGAAAAAGCCTTTTCAGGGTGAGAAAACACTGCTTTCATGCTGACAGAAAAATTGAGGGCACAGGCCAAGGTTGTGACTCTTCTCTCCCTGCCCTGCACTTCAAGTCCTGAACCCATTGTGGAGTCCAAGCACATTGGAGTTAGAGAATGAATGCAGATTGCCACATTCACCCCTTGAGTCAGAGACAAGCACAAAGGCCAAAGAGAATTAATGAGCAAGTTAACCAAAACCTAATTTCTCCAGATGTGGAAACTCAGTGGAGTCTCGGGGTGCTGTTCCAGCTTAGCCAGGGTTTCATCAATACCCATGAAGCTTGATGGATAACCTTCATTGGGAGGAGGCAGGAAGTGTGACCCTGCTCATTCTACTCAGTCTCTCATTTTGTAATACCATTGACCATGGAATCCTCCTGAATTGACTCTGTGGATTAGGCATTAGAGACACTGTCTTGCAGAGGCTCTGCTCTTATCCATTGACTTGATTCCAGAGAGTAACATTGGGCAAGTATTCCTCAAAGCCCTGGAAATTGAGCTCTGCTGTTTCCCAGGGCACCACCCAGGTTTGCAGTGTTATTTAATATCTATAGGAAGCCACTGAAAATAGTCGTTAGGAGATTTGGAGCCAAGTGCTGTCAGTACACTGAGGACCCACAGCTCTGTCTCCTTGTGACAACTGAATCAGGAGAGATGAAAGTCCTGTGAGTGAATGGTTCCTAAGTCCAGGAAGTCAGTTTATTACCTGTTTTGCATGGGGTGGCACTTCTGAAAGATCAGGTTTATAATCTGGGGACCAGCCTAGATCCATTACTGTCACTCAGGTCCCAAGTTCTCCAGTTGATTTGCCAGATATGGCCTCACCTGGACAAGAAAGGCTTGACCACAGTGATACAGGTACTGGTAACCTCAAGACTAGATTACTGCAGTGTGCTTTATGTGGGAATGCCCTCAAGGCTGGAGTTAGTGTAGGATGCAGTGGGTCAACTGCTGTTGCGAGCAGCATCTTTTCAGCATGCAGTTCCCTTGCTGAAGGAGTTGCACTGGCTACCAATTTGCTACTGGGCCAGGTTTAATGTTTTAGTGCCCATATGCAAAACCTGAATGGCTTGGATCTAGGGTACCCGAGACAGTTCCTTCTTCCATACTAACCTACTTGGTCTTTGAGCTCATCAGAGGACATTCTTCTAGTGGTTCCTCACAGAGCCATGGACCAGCTGGATTTTACTAGGAGGCAAGCCTTCGGTCTGGCATTTCCATTTCTCTGGAATTAAGTGCATAATGAGGTCCAATAGACACAGTGTGACACTTGTTTTTGGCACCTGCTAATGATGCTGTTATTTCAGGAAGTCATTTCTGTCTGGCCAGCCATGGTCTTAATGTTATTTTCATTTTAAATGTTTTAATTGTTTTTATTCTTTGATTTGTTTTAACATCATACTTTACCACTGCAGAATCTGTTTGGATGTGAAAGAGTATATAAATAAAGTAAACAACCAGCCAGACAAACAAATGTTGCTTTCAGATGTGCCCATCACTACATCATGACAAATTCTGAAATCTTGTGTCAGCGACTACATGTACTGAACCTGTTGGGTTCCTTGGAGCCTCTGGACAAAGGGACTCTGAGTTGGCACAGTTCCCCTAATGCTTTAGGGACATAGCCTCAGCCTTGCATTTAGGTAAGGAAGTTTAAGGAAGAAGGGAGAAGGAATGCAAATATTCTCATTTTTCTTCTGTATTTCTCCTCTTTATGACTACGCATTCATATATCACTCCTTTTTCACATAATTTTCTGCATTATGTTTCTGTAGTGCACCATGGGAGAAAGTTTGCAGCATTCTTCTTCAGTTCTGTCTGAATGCAAGATTATCTTTGGTTTGATGTAATCATAATACAAAATCAGGCTGAAAATAATCTATGCTTGTATGCCTCCTTACCTCCCATTGCACCCAATGTATCTGGATTTGGCTTCTTGATTGTGATTGGGTGATGGAGTTATTGTTTGTTGTGAATTCAAACCAGTCACAATATGATTTG